TGATCAGTTAGATCATCTCAGATTATAATGATGCAAAATATCATGAAAAATATGTATTAATCTTTATTAAAAAAAATCAAAAGATTTTTTGCAAATGATACATGATTTAAGAAGTTTTATGTGCTATTTGTTCTAAAAAAATAACAAAAAAAGAGAATATCACTAGCTATGTTTAAAATTGGATTCATGTAGATTTATAAGATATCAGTTTTATAAATGTGGGCCCATTTAGACACCATGTGAACCAAAATAATACATTATAAATTAAAGATGCATCTATATAATGGTTATATAGATGTCTATGGTTAATTAGTAGCATAAAATTTGCAAATATGTTTAAATAATTACGTTGAATGAATAAGTCTCAGATTATGCAATTCTATGATTTTTGTTGAGATTGTTAGTGATTGTTTTTCAAGTTGTTAATGATTATACACTTAGCAAAAGCCTCTATAAGTAACTAGATCAAAGCTTATGAGAATAAAATTCTCGTCTTAGTGTTGGAATAATTGATTTGATATATTTTTGTACATAAATGCATCAAGCCAATAATGTATTATGAATTCTCTTATCATAATTGGCTTTTAGTTATGAGCAAAATATTTTTCATCTTAGAATGTATTATATCTATTATTCTATGATAATAATGTACATTGATGGATATTAAAAATAAGTTAGAATTAATGTTAGATAAAAACCTTCTTATTCTTGTTTGTCTCTAGATAAAACAAATTAATGTTTCTCAAAGAAGCTTATGGATTTAGAAAACTTACTTCGTATGTTGTCAACATGAGAGGAAAAAAATGAGTATCTGAAAAAAAAACATAAAATGCATTTTTACTATCAAAGAAAAAAGAGCTGGAGGCCTTGGAATGAGACACTTGAAACAGCAGAATCGTGCTTTCATGATGAAACTAGGCTGGGGTTTAGTCAATAACTGTGATTCCCTATGGGTTAAGGTGATGAGAGGCAAGTATGGCCGTGGCAATGACCTTCTTCCAAGCATTAATTCCAAGAAAGTTGGTTCTAATATTTGGAGCGGTATTAAACGATCTTGGAATATGGTGAAAGAAGGGATTCAAATCGTCACAAATAGAGATGGGGAGGAACATGCTCGCTGGAAATGGAATAAAAGTGGTGCCTTTTCTGTCAAGTTAGCGTACAGAAGCTTGAACCCAGTTGACAACATTAGTACAGGGAGCTGGTCTAACATTTGGAAACTCCGCATTCCTCAAAGATGTAAGATGTTTGCTTGGTTGATGTCCCACGGATGACTTATCACAAATGATCTCAAGTTCAGTCGTCATCTGCATCCTAATGGCATTTGTGAGAGATGTAAACTCCATCCTGAGGATACGCTTCATGCCCTCAGAGACTGTAGACACGTTAAGCCGATTTGGATGTCCGCTATCTGTCCCTCTCTGTATGACAACTTCTTTTCAGGGTCCCTCGATAGTTGGGTTCGTCTAAACATCAGAAATAACTTGAGAGGAGTTGGGTGTTATTGGAAGGGCTTGTTCATAATCATTTGTTGGCTTATATGGCGGAATCGGAATGAAGTGATTCATGCAAGTGGGGTTGGTTGCAATGAGAGAATCATTGACCATGCTAAGGCTATCCTGGTTAGCATGTCCGATGCCAATAACAAGTTGAGAGGTACTAACCTGAATGCTAATCTTCGACAGGCCCTCAGCTCCCCTGTTTTGGATCCGGATAACAGAACAATTATTGAGGTCGATGGGGCTTTCACTCACACGAGGAACATAGCTGCTTGTGGTGGCGTCCTTATGGATGGTACGAGACGAGTCTTGGAAGGCTTCCTATCAAGACTTCATTCGGGAGATTCACTTTCTGCGGAACTCTGGGGTTGTTTACTTGGACTAAGAAGAGCTTGGGATGGAGGACACCATGACGTTATCCTAAGATCAGACTCCCAGGAGGCGCTGGCTCTAATTGAAGGAAACGTTTCTGATTTGCATGAAGATTGGAATATCATCATGGAGATTAAAAGTATGATTGGCAGAGACTGGAAAATTGAATGCCAATGTATTGACAGAGAAGCTAATAGTATGGCGGATGCTCTTGCAAAACGCGCTCTCATGGATAATCCTGGATTTCAACTCCTTGGGCCTGATACTGTGTTCACCTTACTCTCGCCTGACGGCATCGGCTGATTGTCTTTGTTGGTGTTTTTTAGTTTTGGTCGTTTGTTTGTTTTTTAGATTTTCCTTTGTATCAAAAAAAAAAAAGCATGAACTAGAAGTTCATAAAATACTACATTCATAAAATGTAGCTAAATATCTGCTAGACATAATTATTGACCCAAATGAGAATTATTGATTCTCATATTCTGACTAAAATAGCTCCTATAAATATAAATGAAAATGAGATATGTCTGAAGCATGAAGAGAATGGTAGGTTTCAAAATAAAAGAAAAAGGAGCAAATAATCAAGGTGATCATACTAAAGAGACAAAAAGAGAGAGAGAGAGAGAGAGAAGCTAAGACATGACTATTTAACCCTTGAAGAAGTTTAAGTATTTGAAATCAGTAATGAGATCTCAATATATTATGTCATAAAAGAAGAGTGAACCAAAAAAGAATAAAATTGTTGACAATAATATTAGTGATGATATCATGTGATCAAATAAAGATCTTATATATCAATTTGTCACAAGATACAAATAGAAAGATAGTTAGCCAACAGAAATATAAAGATGCAACATTGTCACAGGGATTTGTGCATCTTTAGCCCAAGCACTTAAAATATAATGTTAGTATTATATAAATAAGCGTTCGTACCAAGAAAATAAATAAATGCAATCTTATGGTAGATTACCTTTTTATATATCTTATCAATATGGGAGTTTGATAATATATAAAAATATTTCGTATGCATCTAGGAAATAATAATGACTCACTATGTGGTGAAATTTTATGTGAATCCTAAAAAGATTCAACTCCTTATATGAGTTCATAGATAAATTTGGATCATAATATATGAAAATCTTTGAAAGATTCAAATTTTCAAAAGCATACAATTATCTTCTCAAGAACACCACTCAATTAAGTTAAATAAGTCTCTATATGGAGGCATATGTGATATAACTGATTTAGTAAATATTGATTAAAGGAATAATATAAAAATATTTTAAATTGCCTATCTAGAAAAAGATTTGAAAATGGGTTTGTTATTATTTCTATTTATGTATCATGTGCTTCAATAGTTGCAAGATCTTTAGATGCGGACTAAAGATCCATTTAGACCTCCAAAAGGTGTTAATAAATACTTGGTCTAAAAGTACCATATCTTAGTGTCACTGAAGCACTTATGCATCTAGCTGGCTACACAAAACCTGACATATCATTTATTAATTAGTATGATATAGTATTTAACTAACATGAAGAGTTTGGAATAAAGTTAAGCACGTTCTTCCTTACTTTAAGAACACTATAGAGGTGATATTATTTATCTGAATCTAGCCCAGACGCCAAGATTAATCTTAATGGCTTTGTGGATAAATGATTTTTGTTTGATCCTCATGTTTAAAGATCACAATATGATCTGCATGTCAGTAAAGCACAAAAGGATTATTTGTTTCATGATTTTCAAAAGATTATGAAATTAACATTTGACTTGTTTATCTCACTACAACATTTAAAAATGTTGTTCTTTATAATAGACTTTGTTGCCTTAAAGATGTGAGTTGATGTTGCCAAGGAAGGGAGTTTATGCACTTTGTATTCTTTTTCCTTTGTCTATAGTTTTGTAATACTGAGTTTTTCTTACAAAGTTTTTGATGAGATAGCATTGGATAATACATCAATCAATGATGTACTCTTTTTCTTCTATTAGGTTTTTTTATCCCATTGGGTTTTTTCTAGTTGGAGTGTTTTTTTTAATGAGGCACATTCATATAATGGACATCTAAGGGGGAGTGTTATAAATATAATAATATCCCTGTGGATATTCATATTTCTGACATTATCTCTAATATCTTATCTTTTCTTCATGATCACAATTATCTTTTATTATTATATAATCTGTAAATTCTACTAAAATTGTAAAATTGTGCCTATAAATAGAGGGCATGTGTCATGTATTTAGTACATCAAATGGAATAAGAAATACTTTTATCTTCTAATCTTTCTAATTCTTTTCTCTTCTTCTATATTTCTTTTTTAGTTTTATAACAAATCCTCCAAAATTTTCTCACCATGGTGGATAAGCAAGTTATTTTGTATTTTAATCTTTTTTACCTGAATGATATAGTGTTAAATTTTTTTGTAAATGGTTATAATAGCTAGTAAATAAAAAACATTCTAGATGTAGGTAATCTCCTTGTTTATTTTGTTATTTTCAAGCAAAATAATGAATTTCAAAATATTTAATTAAAAATGATCCTAACCCAGTTTTGGGATTTTCAAATTGCATAAACATTATTTTTTGCTTAACTTTCAGCATTTTTAAAATTAAAGAATGTAAATTTTTTAATAATATATAAATTTTATAACTATTTTTTCTTTTATGTAAATAGTTACTAGTATTACTTCTAGTTCTTAATATAAAAGTTTTGATTTTTATTTTGATCTTAAATATAAAATCTCAATCTATTTTTTCTCTCATACTTATTTATTTTTTTTAAAATAGTTCTTGTAATAATAATATTTTTAACTAATATACTTGATTAACAAGAATATTTTAAAAAAATAACATTTATTTATTATAAATAACTAACTTAACTTAATCTATTCAAATTAGTTAATTTGTTTTTATAATATTATTATTTTTTATTTTTATTTGCGCCAGAGTCTCATTTTTTCCGGTTTAATGCGCGAAACACTGGCGTTTCCTGCCAAAATGGAAGAGCCAGAAAGTTCAAATCTCGTTTACGTGAAAAGCCACAGTGGGAGATTTAATTCCATTTTCGTTAACTAGTCCTATTTCTGATCCCACCCCAACCGCCGCATTCTTTTCTAATTTGTTCTCCGATCGCCGGAATCGTATCTACCACCATCAGAACTATTCTCCTTCTCATCCTTCTTCCTCCGTTCCTTTCAGCAATATCGGAATCCGAGCTCCGTTTCATGCTTTCACGATTTCGCTTTCTTTGCTGGAAATTGGAATATAGTCTCTGAATCTATGGAGGCCATTGAGGAGTTGGTTCAGCTTTCGGATTCTATGCGCCAAGCTGCATCTGTGCTTGCCGATGAAGATGTTGATGAGACGACACCCAGTAGGCGGCCTTCCACATTCCTCAATGTCGTTGCCCTCGGCAATGTGGTAAGTTTCTATATTTTTCTCGTCTATGTGTTCAGTTTGGTGTTGTAGAATTTTCGATCCCGTTGTGGTTGGACAGTGCTCCCTGTTTGGATTGGGAATCTGTTATTCTGAACAGAGTCTTGGTGTGTGAACCTAAAACATTATTATCACCAAGGAAGTTGCATTTGGTGGGAGAAGGAAGCAATGTGTGGAAATCGGTATCGTGGTTGCTGGATTATGATGCGTCGTATAATCGGGGAGCTGTTCTGGAACTGCAGAGTGTTGTTGCGAGAGCAGAGAGCTCTATGAGAGGTTGCAGATGATGGGATAAGGAAGCTACATTTGGAATCGGGAAATTGAAAGCTTTCAATTCACAAGAGAGGAGTCACTATTTACGGCTATGTATAATTGGATCTATTACAAAATGAACCAACGTAACAGGGTTGTGGAATAGGTTTCATGTCGTCTTTGATAAGTCATTGCGCCTGACAAAAAGATGGAATTCACAGATTTTGATTCATGGAATCTAAATTTCTAATGGATTCTGGAGCTCTTGACTGGAGGAGAATTGGCCGGAGTAGTGCGTTCGTTAGCATCTGAAAAGTTACTTTGTAATCCTTTGTTTTTCTAACTGCAATTTACAGTTTTGGTTGGCAATGCTGAAAATAGGAACTACGCAAGGAAATATTAACCTAGTACGATCTAAATTAAAAAGAAAAGGATAAAAGGCATAACTATGGTCAGTCAGAACTTTACTCACAACACTTGCTTTTCTATTAATACTTATGTAGTTGCTGCCCTGCCATTGCAAAAACTTCTTTCTTTTGTTATGCTTTTTGAACCCTACAAAATGTATGCGAGCGTTTCTTTTAATCCCTTCATTTCTTTGGATTGACTTTTTAGGGTGCCGGAAAATCTGCTGCCTTGAATAGCTTGGTTGGACATCCTGTTTTGGTAAGTTACAGCTGATATGCGTTTTGTTGACTTTGTTCACTGTTCTGTTGTTTTCTCCCTTAAAGGGTCATAATTAAACTTTTGGCAGCCCACCGGTGAAAATGGTGCTACCAGAGCTCCCATAAGCATTGATTTAAATAGAGATAGCTCTTTAAGCAGCAAGTCAATCGTCTTACAAATTGAAAATAAATCTCAACAAGTTTCTGCAAGTAAGAACAGCTAATATTATTATTATATTTGGTTTTAAATTCATTGAGCAATGTAAATGTCTCATAAGCGCTTGGATAAAAATGGCTTGAAAGCCTTCTACTAGCACTGCTCCTATCATTTTTCTGACCGTCTCGATTCAATTTTCATCTTATAGGTGCCCTTCGACATTCTCTACAGGATAGGCTAAGCAAAGGTTCATCTGGCAAGAATCATGAAGAAATATACCTGAAACTACGCACAAGTACCGGTAGGCCCATCATTGAGCCCCCTCCTCCATTTTAGCATGAATGAACTAGTGCTTTTGAGGAAAAGATAATAAACAAGGACTGACTTTCAACAGAAATGGAGGATAGCCTAAGATGCTTTCTGAATATTGTCTTGGTCTCCAGTTTTTTCTTTATGATCTTATTGGATCCTTTTGTTTCATATTGTGAAGTTATTTACCTGAAAGACACAAAGATATGCATGCATTTGTGTGTTTATAATATGTGCTCCATTTTTACCATGAAATAGAGAAAGACCAATGGAAAGAAGAAATTGTGGATAAAGTATATCAAAATTGTAAATCACCCTATCATCCCAAACGTTTCAGCTGTTAGGAGAAGGCTAACGAGTAAGTTTTATTATTATCTCTAACATTTCTCCACCTGAAAGGCCTTAGGACTTGAAGTGTAGACAATGGTCAAGAATGGAACCGTAAGAATCAGACTCATGACGATTTGAATGTCAAACGCCGTTTTTTCAAGTCAAAGACTTGAGGGTGTTGAGAAAAGGCCTATTAATGGATTTTTACTATTTATTATTAACATTAACAATAGTCTTCCATTGTCTCTGAATGTCTGAGGAAAAACCATGGGGATACATAATTTGCTGAACACCATAAGGCAGTGTAGTCAAAGGTGCTCACATAGGCACCAAGGCAAGGCACTAAACAGGTCCAGTGGATCAGACATCATGAGGTGTGCTGCCGTCATTGAGTTGCCAAAAGGCGCACACCTTTTGTGCCCTTTCCCTTCTGTAAGGCATACATCTAAGGTGCCTTATGGGTTGTTTGGGTAAACTTCTTGTACAACCAACTTTTGCCTCAAAAGTCGGCTGCTGTGGAAAGCTCAAATTTTGAGCTTTTAAAGTTGCCAAAGTGGAGAGAAAAGTAAATACGGATGAGAAAAAAGATAAATGTATTTAAGTGGATCTTATTTTGATCCAATAATTTGATTTTTTTTTCAGTAGTAATTTAATTATTTTTTATTTATTATTTTTCTTAACTTTATCAAATTATATATATATATAATGTACTATCCCAGGTTCTTAATATAAGACCAAGTAAACTAATTTGAAGAGATTATGGGAGCTAAATAAATGACTTAATTATATTTTATGCTATTTGATCTCTTTAAAATATTTATACATATCACTATATTACAAATCAATTTATAAAGCAGGCGAATATCTAAACTTACTTTTTCATTACTTATCCAACCAAGTTTCAATCTATCAAACTGACTTTTATAAAAGTCAATTTAAACATAAATTATATTACACTAACTAATTTTTATTCTAACTCATGTTTGCAAAAATCAGATGAAATAAAAATCAGTATTATCACTGCTAATCCAAACACACTCAAAATCTATATATGAACATTCATTAGCTGGAAAAAGTAATCAATAATTATATGAACTATGGGAGGTAGGATTTGGGTAAAACCCCAACATTGTATTCATGACCTTACCCCACCATTACTAATAATGCTTATGTACTCCCCAGTTAATTTCATCTTTTACTATTTTGTTAATGGTTCACGACTGTCATTGCTTACTTCGTTCGTGTATCTCTTTGTTCATATGTCATTCTTTTTTTTCTTTTTTCTTTTTTTACAGAATTTACATGTCAAAATTTCTTTCAAATCACATTTATCTATTTTTTTTAATTTATTTAGCACAATGTTTCTAACTTAAGTGCCTTGATCCCTTGGGCTTGTGCTTTTCTAGTGCCTCTTGCCTGAGGCAATTCAGAGTTGGAGGCGCCTTTTGCCTTTGCCCAGGGCATACAATACTCAAACATCTATTCTCGTCCCCTTCTTCTTCAAGAACCTTCTAGATCTATATGCTTATTTTGATATGTATTATACCGCCAACGGGTAAATTTGCTTTGGAAGATTTCTACCAGTTGCAATCGATATTCTTAACTTTTGATTGGTGTAATGTTTCTCTGACAGTTTATAAAATGGTGCAATGTTACTCTGTAGTAACATTTGACAGTTAATTGAACAATTTAACTAGGATAAAAGGGCAATTTTGCCTCGAAAATTTTCTAAAATTAGTCGATTAAAACTGGTTGAAACTTTAACAAATTCCTAAAAGCAAAAGCCAACCAAAATTGGCCGCTGGGCACTGTGAAAACAATTGGGAGTAGAATGACGCATTCAAGTTTATGGTGGTCAAGCTCGAAAATACAAGACAATAATATGAGCGTAAATTTTGGAAATTTTCTACTTAATGACCTGTTTTGCAAAATTGTTACTTTAATTTCTGCTTGAATAATGACACTCTTGATACACTGAGTAAGGTGAGCTTTTCAATTTCAAATATATTAAAGATTGTAAATCAATATGTCATTGTCACTTACATTGAGGACGATCTATCCCCAAGATCAGTCCCAACATCTTTTTATTGAAATTCTTAGTTAATAAATATCTTTCGTACAAATATTTATTAGTCTTCCCCAGCAAGTGATGAAATCCATGGATTTTCGTACAAATATCTTTCGTACATGAGCTTAGTGTAGTTTTTTTTTTTCATGTCATGCTTTACGGTTTTAGTCTTCCCCAGCAAGTGATGAAATCAGACTCGTGACTGTATGCTTTCCTATTTACCATAATAATGATATAGAGAAATAGACAAAGTGAAGAATGGGGAGAAGCGGGGGATGAATTTTAGACTCACGCTTTTTGTTCTTCTTCAGCTCCACCATTGAAGTTGATTGACTTGCCTGGACTGGACCAACGAATAATGGATGAAAAATTGGTGAGTACATGTGTGCTTGTCATTGATTAAGCTTTATGTTCAACATGAAGCATATTTTGGACTATTTAGTATTTTCTGCCTGTATTTTCATTTGTTAGTAAGTGTTTTATTCATCTTCGGTCTCTGGCTGTTTGGGAGCATTTTCTTCAAAGAGAAATTTACTGTTTTATTTTTTTATTGGCTTTATTCCTTCATTAGATCAGTGAATATGCTGAACACAATGATGCTATTTTGCTCGTGATAGTTCCTGCTGTACAGGCACCGGAAATTTCATCATCACGAGCCCTGAGAGTAGCAAAAGAGTATGATGGAGAATGTAAGTTTTCTACTTTTTCTGTTCCTCCAGCCCCTTCAAACTATCCTAATTGTGCCTATTTATTTAGAAAGCTCTTTTTTCTTAAATATTTTTCTTATATTGTATCATTAATTACTGTTTTTTTTTGGGGTCAATTGTAGCCACCAGAACAGTTGGTGTTATCAGTAAAATTGATCAAGCAGCTGCAGAACCAAAAGCCCTTGCAGCTGTACAGGCTCTTCTATTGAACGAAGGACCCCCCAGAACATCTGATATTCCATGGATTGCTTTAATAGGTCAATCTGTTGCTATAGCTAGTGCACAGTCTGGTAGTGCTGGGACTGAGAGCTCTTTAGAAACAGCTTGGCGTGCTGAGACTGAAAGTTTAAAATCAATATTGACTGGAGCCTCTCAAAGTAAACTTGGTAGAATAGCTTTGGTTGAGTCTCTTGCTGGCCAGATCCGGAATCGAATGAAGCTCAGGCTGCCAACTCTTCTTTCTGGGTACTTGTTTTTTGTCACCAACTGTCAGCCTGCTTGCATTAAGTTATCCTTTTGTTCACATAATTAGTAGCTGTAGTGAACTTGTCTTGAAATTTTGCATTCCTTTTAAGTAGAAGCTTTGATGTTCTGTGTCAGCCACTCACATACACATGCATACATACGGCAGTTAAATTCCAACGTATAATTTCACCTAATAAATCAAAACGATTATTTGCTAGTTCTTGGAAGTGCTTCCTGCTCCTGCCCATGATATTTTTTATTATTTACTATGAAAAATGTTATCTCACAAAAATAAATTAATTAATAGAGAGCAGATAGTTATTTTTAAATGTACACTTCTCATAACCTAATTGTTTTAAATGAACAAGTAATACCTCTTTATGTCTACTTAAATTTACAAAAAAAGTCTTATAATTAGGACCAGAGGTAGTATGTAATGTGTGTTTGTAATTAAACAGTTCTTTTTTTTTTTTTGGGCCAAAATTAAACGGTTCAAGTAGTGAAGAAAATACATAACCTCATGTAGCTTGTTGATTAATGGATTCGATGTTGTCCTTGTGTCTACACTTCTGTCTAATATGAATGCTTCATGTTGCACCTTCTCATGATGTTTCAGTATGCACATTGCATGTTGCTTAAAATGAAAGGGCTTTCCAACATTCTGTGATGGGTTCTGGCGTGTGTGAAAAGAATTCTTTATTAGCCTGTGGGATTAGAAATCTAGTGCCGCAAACTAACGGACAAGGATTTCTCCATCAGTAATCTGAATATTCACAGTATGACTTTTCAATGCAAGCATCTGTCCTGATATAGTGAGGACATATACAGACACAATCATCTGACACTTAATCAAATAAGTAATACTTATACATAGGGCTCATGGACATCAAGTTACACAAGACACCAGGACACTAGAACGCTGAGAACAGTGCCAAGACATGATAACAGTTAGCAAGAGAAATACAACGCCCAAACTACCAATCCGGATCATAAATAAATGCATAACTGCCTAATTTCCCTAGTTTTCCCTCTTCTTCCTTTGAGTATAGGTAATGATGGATGGAGAAGTCCTATGATTCTGATTGCACTTCATATATTTATCTATCTTTGAATGTGTGTGCACATTGGTCTGCTGCCAACGAGAAAACTTGCTGGCTAGCATATGATACCCTATTCTCTATTTTGTGTTCTTAAGGTTGCACCTTCCGCTGGCTACATTTGTTTTTCTTTTCTCAAACTTATTATATTTCTTTCTTTCTTTCTTTCCTTTCTCTCTCTCTCTCTCTCTTCTTCTTTTTTTTTTTTTTTGGGGAAATGCTGCAGTCTACAGGGAAAGTCTCAGACTGTCCAGGAAGAATTAGTGAAGCTTGGGGGACAAATGACTGCTAGTTCTGCAGGTACCAGAGCTCTAGCTTTGGAGTTATGCCGTGAATTTGAGGATAAATTTCTTCAACATCTTGCAGGAGGCGAGGTTAGTTCCTGTCTTCTCTTGATGAAATAGAGTACTTACTTTATTAACAAGCTACTACATGGAAAATGATGAACAAGTAACAAACACAGATAAAGGGAAAGAGGGAAAGCCTGTAAATGAAGTCTAGTGAGGCAGGTGTTGGACAATCAAGAACAGAGTTGGAGCTGTATCAATATATTAAGAATCTCCTATATAAAGATATACAAAGCATGTGATATGTTCAAATTTATACATATTTTGTGCGCTCCCATGCACCTTAGGGACGTTTCTCGAGTCTTGTGATCTTTCACATACTTAGTCTGCAAAAATTGATTGAACTTAAGATTTTTTGCTTCAATACTCAAGAAATAGTTTAAAGAACCGGTATCCTTCAGTAAAAATTCCCTTTCTAGACTATGAACCAGCTCCTTAATCAACTGGTTTAAAATGATGAGATTATCATCTACATAAACAAATGCTCAACTAATTTCTATGGGGATAATGCAAATGAACAAAGTAGGACCATATTTTCTTGGTTAGAAATCGTTGTTGACTAGAGCTGCTTCCTGTCTCTCAAACAAAGCCTTTGGAGCCTGTTTTAGACTATATAAAGCCTTATTGACTCTGCACACAAGTTGCTAATTCCCGTATTTAAATCCTTGAGGTTGTTGGAGAATTGGAAGAGCTGCTTACTTAAATTGGCATCTTATTTGTTTATCTGGTTTGATTTTGAGCCCTATCATAATGGGAGACCCTAATATCTGAAGAGTCGTGTGATTAAATCCTTAGGTTACTTTACAGATGTAAGGGTGTTGGCAGTAGCTGGTTTTCAAATCTAGTATTTATCTTGTTTTCCTTTACAGGGAAATGGTTGGAAAGTTGTTGCTAGTTTTGAAGGCAATTTTCCTAACAGGATCAAGCAACTTCCAATTGACAGACACTTTGACATGAAAAATGTCAAAAGGGTAAGTGTTCTTAGAATGCATTTTATTGGTTTTAGGTTGAATCTTGGACTATAACTTCCTAAGGTTCTTGTTTCTTATATGGCCCTTTTAGTTTGTGGCAGGTTGTTCTTGAAGCAGATGGATATCAACCATATCTTATCTCCCCAGAGAAAGGTTTAAGGTCCTTAATTAAAGGTGTTCTCGAACTGGCAAAGGAGCCATCACGCCTTTGTGTTGATGAGGTTTGCTTCTATTGAGTTGATAATTTTATTCAGTATGCTAGTTGTATCTTGTATGCTTTGTTTATCAAGATGAGTAAAGATAGCTCGGAAAGATCTTGGTAGAGGCCTGACTATTTGGGAACATTGCAGAAATAATAATTAAGCACAGTTGGTTGTCTTGGAGGCATTAAAATGAGGAGGGGTCTGGTTAATGATGATTTGGGTATTCATCTATGTTTCAGGGATTAATCCATCAATTAGATCAGAATTCTCTTTTCAGTTTGTTTTTTTGTCTTTATGTTTTATAGTTTCCTTGCAAACCCTTGGGTGTAGACATTTCATTTAGTTTTATGATTGAATAAAATATTAGTAGATCTCCACATGGGGTCAGCTCTTGTGGCAATGTGAGGTGTAGGTAGAGATTAAAGGTTCAAAGCCTTTTGGTGTAACAATTAAAAAAAAAAAATTCAGTAGTTCTTTTTCTGTTTCTCCCTCTTTCTCCTTCTATATATTTATTTCTCCCTTTCTTCCTCCATTTATGTCTACCTATTTTTCTCTACAATCCCTGTTTTCAACGCATGTTATCGAACTAATTGTTGATATGACGCATAATGTGTCTTTATACTACCACATGCATTTAATTATTATCAGCCCATACAAATAGAACAATTACCTGTGTTTTTTTTCCCCCTATTGATATTCCTATTTAAGCTTCTTTCAAGTGAATTTGTTTGGCAACTATCAAATTAGGTGCATCGTGTGCTTGTGGAAATAGTTTCTGCTGCTGCGAATGCTACACCTGGTCTTGGAAGATATGCTCCATTGAAGAGAGAGGTAACAATGCTTTGTGGTAATTAGACATAAGTTGGCCCACTCTTTGGATATTTAATTATCATATACCTATCAATTTTTATTAGATTGTGGCAATAGCAAGTTCTGCCCTAGATGCATTTAAGAGTGAGGCCAAAAGAATGGTCGTTGCCTTGGTTGATATGGAGCGTGCATTTGTTCCACCCCAACACTTTATTCGTTTGGTACAGAGGCGGTATGTATAATCTCTTTGAATGCATATGTACATACGATCTTAAAAAATCTTATGCTTCTCAATGGTATCACCTTGTTTTCCCATTCCTACTTGACGCGCTGAGTTTGGATTTGAAACTCATGATAATTCAACACCATGAAAGATTCATGTGACTTGGAGCTTTATTGGGAATGAATATTATTTGAGATTCTCAAGATATATAGTGCAAATCTTGAAAGATGATTTCATTCATTGATCACTGAAACATAGAGTACAATTGTTAAATAGGCTGCAATCTATCCCTAATCCTCACGTTTCGAGATATTTTTTATTGAAGAATGATGTGAAAGGAAGGGTTGACTACTGACAGTAATGGGAAAGATAAGAAACAAAGAGAGGAAAAAAGACGTCATGAATCAGAAGCCTAGAAACAAGTAACGAGCTCTTATACCATGACAGACATGAGTGAAAAATTTATTTATGCTATTCATAGTGGGGAGCGTTATACAAAATTTATATACAAAGAATAGAAACTATCCTGGGAAATTAAATAAAATGCGCAAAAACTAAATCTCTAAACTAAAGGGGTTGAAATTCCAAGATTCTGTTACAAAACAACAAATAATAGATTACAATGATTACAAATAATATGTAGTAATTATTCTTAGAACCATAATTTGTTACAGTACCTGGGGGCATGGCTTCGTTTCTTACTAACCTTCTTTACATTTATCTTTCGTTATATATATTCCAATAAATAATGAAAATCATAAAGAATTATAATATAAATTTTAAATTTGGTTTTTCACGTTTTTAGAAATCTTCTCTGTTTAAATTATTTTTTTTGTCCAAAAGTCATTGTGGTAAAAATCAATGAATACTATGACAATTGACTATTAATTCTTTATTATAAATTCAATTTGTGACTATATTTTTAATATTATATAACATTTTTTAATATTTGAAATAAAATATCTTACTTCGTTGTAAATTATGATTGGTTTGAATTCAACTAGTGAATTTTAAACTAATGCTTTGATTGGTTGAATGACCCGTCTGCTTTTATTATGGAGAACTTATGAGCATCTATTGATTATTATGCTCCAAAAATCTCCTAGGCGTCCACCCAAAAGCCAAAAGGAAAGGTGTAATGATTACCTAAGATTTTGACTTTTGTATCTCATTTGTTGTCATGCTAATATTATATCCTGCAAAAGCTGGTATTATTTGACTGAACTTCGATATGTTTTAATGCCTGTTTCTGTTGCATTCATCAGAATGGAGAGGCAGCGCCGAGAGGAAGAGCAAAAGCGGCCCTCAAAAAAAGCAGTAGATGCAGAACAGTCAGCTCCAAATAGGGTGTGCGATTATTTAGTTCCTTCAAGGAACTAATGGCTTGCTTTTTGTCTCATCATACCAATGTTAAATTCGCTTACATAGGACACAAATGTGATGGAAACTTAGTTTCCCCTTATAGGATAGTAGTCCTCAAAAAGGTCAACAAAGTGGGGCAACCTTAAAATCATTGAAAGATAAATTTGGTCTACACGACAAAGATGCACAAGAGACATCCAGCTTGAAGATTGCAGGGCCTGAAGGAGAGATAACAGCAGGTTTTTACAAATTCATCCTGACGGTTAATGTGGATCTAACTATATCATTAAGGCCATTCCTCTTGCGGTAGTGTCATTTATTTACTTGGGTTTCTCTTTTCTTCTAATTGTCGTTCTTTTATCCCGGATTAAAAGCTTCAAAAGTCATCTTACTTAAACGAGTTACCTCCTTTTGTTCTGTTGTCATCCTTCTTATCAAACAGCAGCTCGCAATAGATGTATAAATTCAAATGTTGTTATATGCACCTCTTCGTGGTGGCTGATCATCTCATCCCATCATTTTATTTGCATCGGATATTCTTGTCTATGGCTCTACATTCCTGCAATTATCAAAATTGTCAGCTGATAGAGCCGGTGATTTACAAAAGAGTAGGACATCATTTCCCAAGACCTATGGTAGACAATCTTGGAGGGGAAGTGATACAGAGAAGACTAACACCAGTGGTCAAGAGATTTATCCCAAGATTTATAACTGTGAGATTAAAATGGTAAAAGACAAGTCAGGTTAGGTGTTGCCATAGGTATGGATAGAGTTGGTGGGAGTAAAGATTATTTTTTTGGGGGTATAAGATTAGCCTTTCCGTGAAAAGGTAAGGGAGTTCAGTCTTTTGGAAGTATAGTGATGTTTGGGAGAGTTCCGACCTCTTGAAAGTTCAGAGTCACTGTGTTGTGTGCCTTTTTTTTTTTTTCTCTGTTTCTTGTTATTTTCATTGTAATTTCTGTATCTTGGTGTAAGAGGGTCAATAGTTTAGCTTGAGTTAGTTATTTCCCTTGTAATATCTTTTAGTTGTTCGGTAAAAGTATCATCCATCTCAAGTTATTTCCATTTTTCTTGCCGTCCATTTGTGGTTTTCGTCTGTCATTGGCTTATTAGAGTTGAGGGCTTTATCATCGGCTTGCTGATGTACCTTTTCTTCTTTTCTCTTGTCACTTCCAATTACTGAGTTGCATGCTAATAAATTTGTTCTCATATTTCTCTTATCTGCTTCTGTCATTGGAAAATCTGTCTTCTTTCACAGTTAGACTTGTTTCATTTACAGAACTTTTTATATTGCTGCTTTTGCACTAATTGGTCTTGCACTTATTATTTTAAGTTCAATAATTGAAAGACATTGCTGAAGCACAGGACAATTATTGAATGTTCTGTAGCCGCCACCCCCCCCCCCCCAAAAAAAGAAGAAGGAATAAATAAAACTCTTGGTTATCTTTTCAAGGTGATGAGGTTGTTTTATCCTCTCGTAATTCTCTTCATATCTTATAAACCTTGTTTTTCCAGAAGAAAAACATATATTTTCAAGTTAATGAATATTTAGGTGTTTAAACTTACTGTAATTTTCATTAGCAATTCCCTCCTTTAGATATTTCATGCTAAACTACAAATAATTTCTAGACGATTCCTATGTATTATTTTCTCTCTCCATTGGAATGCTAGGTATCATATGAGATAAATGAGTAATTTGAATTAACTTCTTTCTCAGCAATATCTCTTCTGAATGCAGGATATTTATATAAAAAAAGCGGAAAAGGTAATACTTGGAGTAGAAGATGGTTTGTTTTGAATGAGAAGACTGGGAAGGTTAGTAAATCATCTTATTTAATGGTCTGATGGTGAGTTTAAGTGAATTTTTTTTTTTTTGGCAAAGAAATCTCATTCTGAAAGAAGAAAGGCGATGAAACCCAATAGAAACTAACGATATTGACATATTGGTGAGGTTCTGATTCTTTCTCTACGTGGAGAAAACAGATGAGAATGAATAGGCTAGTTCTTACCTTAATATAAATTCCTAAAACAAAGTAGAAATAAAGACTAAAAGGATTAGATGGAAACAAGCACCCTCTAGATTTTGAGATGGTAGTGTCTCTTCCAAAAGCTACCAAATTCTTTCTTTTTCCCTCTACGTTTATCCTTTCAATATATAACCTCTTCTAACAAACTTCATCCTTCCTCCCTCCCTGTCCCACCCCCTTCTCTGTCCCCTCACTCATAACATTTAATGGTTTTCCAAATCTCCTTCACATGCAGACATAAGGATAATTCTTTGGCAGGGCTCTCTAAGGAGCTGCTTCTACAAAATGGTTTGGGTAATTATTTCCACTTATGTTGTCCCTGTCTCTGAATCTACCTCAAGCTTGGGGGTGAAGGTATGCTAGTACGACCCTTCCTAGGTGGGCTGTAGTTTGGACGTTCCGCCTATCTAAAAGGGTGGTATCTGGGGAGAGGATCTCCTTTAGGGTTGTAGCGGGATGGGAATATAAGTATTTATAAACTCAAGGGAAATGGAAAATTGAATATAATTTAATCAATTGAAAAATTATGTTACCATTTGGGCAAAAGATGATGCTTTAATTTTCAGTAAGGTGATTTTGGCATTACACGAAAGTAACTTCACCAAGTTGTATGATGCCATTTGCTAAGCGTATGACTTAATTTTCTAAATGATTGAACAACTATTTATGATATAATTGGGCATGAGATAAATGGGAAATTCAAGAGCCTCATGTTTGATAATTCATACTGCCATGATAAGTCAAGGCCTCTCATAAATTTGATGTTATCTTTGATCAATTGAAATTTCGCTTTTGGTTTCTCTATGTTACCCATAATTTCTTTTTGCTTTTATTTTTTTAATTATTTGTAAAATAATATTCCAAAGCATGTTGCATTAATCATTCCAGCATACGGTATGTGCAAATGCATTAGTATCTGCTAGTGATGCATTGATTTGATGAGGAGAACAATCAAGTCTTGTTTGATGTGCTATGATTTGCCTTGCTGCAGCTTGGTTACACCAAAAAACAAGAGGAGCGACATTTCCGAGGAGTTGTTACTTTAGAGGTATGGATTTCTTAGAGAGCGAAAAATGCCCTTGTTCTTAACAAAATTAATTCGTGGAATGGCGGATATAATGGTCTGCATAAAATTTCTGAATCCTGTTTATTTAAATTGGCAGATGCGTTTAGGATAGTGTAGTAGCCTACAATGGCAGCTCCTAGAGGTTTCAAATAACAAAGAGAAAATGGGTTTATTAAACGATAATATTTAATTTTTGGATGTTCCTTTTTTAATTTGAATTTTATAACCAGGAATGCAATATTGAGGAGACTTCTGATGATGATGCTCCTGCCAAGGGTTCTAAGGATAAGAAGGCAGATGGGGCTGATTCTGGAAAATCACCAAGCCTCATTTTCAAGATAACAAGCAAGGTCCCCTATAAGACTGTCATGAAATGTAACTCTCTTACTAACATATGCATTCTATCATCGCCCGGCCAAATTATGAATGATTGAATATAACTGAACAATCTATGTCAATGTTGCAACATGCTTTTGGCAGCTGAAAGTGTAGTTGTGTTAAAGGCAGAAAACATGGCTGATAAAGTTGAGTGGCTAAACAAGCTAGGCAATATTGCACATTTTATTAAAGGAGGAGCTCAAACGATAGCTGAATCTGGTTTTCCTATTCGACAAAGTCTTTCTGATGGTTCTCTTGTAAGTTAAAAGCTAACTTATCCTCTCTTATTTGATCTGTATAATAGCAAAATAAAAATTTGCACTCTTTCTTTACCGTACCATAGGGAGAACCAACATGTTAGTTTATTTGGGATTACGCCATTATACATGAAGAGGTTTCCCAGTGATGCATTTCACCCCTCCCCTGGCCACTGGCCTGGCCAAGATATTTATTCTGAAAATCAGTTATGAATTTCATGAAAGTTATGAATCTCTGCAGCTACATTTTTTTCCCATCTTTTTCTATTTACATACCTAGCCAGTTTACCATGTGTCCAATAAGTTTTTCTTTCTGGCGTCTAGAGTCTATTCTGCAGCTACTGATGTTGAGTACTCTTGTAGGATGCCATGGCTAGAAAGCCTGCGGATCCTGAAGAGGAACTTAGATGGATGACGCAGGAAGTGCGTGGTTATGTTGAAGCGGTTCTTAATAGCCTTGCTGCTAATGTTCCAAAAGTCAGTTTCTTTTATTAGTGCTATATTTACTGTCTTTTTGTTCATTGCTGTTAATGAAATCATTTAGTTTTCTCTGAGCAGGCAGTTGTTCTTTGCCTAGTAGAGAAAGCTAAAGAAGACATGCTTAACCAATTATATAGTTCCCTCAGGTTCATTCTGTCTCCTCTCTCCTTAGTTTCAATTGAGTTTTCTGTTTCTTGATATGCCAGCAAGCCTTCCCTGCTTTTCTACTTCCATGATTCAAACAACTTTTAATGTTCTTGCAACTCCATTATTATTCTATTACACATTTGAATAAATACTAGGTCTAGTGGGTTTTTCACTTTTGTTTCGATTTTTTCCCAATAAGTATTAATTCCCATCACTTTGAGATAAATATATTCATACACATGATAAGCAGCATTAAATTCAATTATCTTTATCATCTAAACACTTCAAATCTCACAATAAAATTTGGCAGCACTAATTTGATCTGCTAATGTTGACAGTGCCCGGAGCTCAGCAAATATTGAACAATTACTCCTGGAAGACCAGAATGTAAGGAACAAAAGGGAGCGTGTCCATAAACAGTCAACCCTTCTTTCAAAACTCATTAGGCAACTTGGCGTCCATGACAATAGGGCAGCTGCTGCTTCTAGTTGGTCTGATGGAGGGGCAGGTAACACTACGCAAACCTGAATGTTCTTGAGGTTCTCTCCTAAGAAATATGCCGGGTATTGCAATTTACCCGGGTTTTTTTAAGGAAGGGGAGAGGATGAGTCTGTTTGGTTCGAAGGAGGGAAGGTAAAAAATTTTGTCCTTTTGTGCTTCCTTCCCCTCCCCTCCAAATAAGTCGATTTTGACTTACTTTTTTCCAGTGTTATCCCTCCTTACTTTTTTCAATATATATTAATTAGTTATATATATATATATATTATATGTGTGAGTATACATATTATATATATCTATTAATATATTAATTAAGTATATATACCCCGCGAGAGCATGGATACCTTGTCAGCGATCAATTTATAGGTACCTATGTAGACTTTCTTTGAACCGTGACTCAAAACTACTCTTTTACAACACCCCCCCCTAAAAAAAAAAAAAAGGCCTGAGTTCACTGTTTCATGTTTTTAACACTTGCGAATCTTGAGCTACCTTAGATAATACAATTTATTGAAATTTAAAATTTAATCAAATATTTTAGTCTGTGCATCACAGGGGAGATAAATTTCTAGTTCCCATTGAAATCAAGTACTATCTATATGAACTTGTACCATAATTTAGTCTAATAATTTCAGTTTCTGGTCATTTGTTCCTTCAGAAAACAACATAGGAAGCTCTGTACCTTCATCTGGTGAGGATTGGAAGTCTGCCTTTGATGCGGCTGCTAATGGTCGAAGTGACTCCTATAGGTATGGATCTGGTGGTCACAGTAGACGTTATAGTGACCCATATCAAAATGTTGAAGTAAGCTCAGGTTCAAACTCCGGCAGTCGCCGAACACCTAACCGATTGCCGCCGCCACCTCCCCAATCTAGTTCTAGGTATTAGATAAAGTTACAAATGATCTTCATAATAATAATTTTGCAATCTTGTGGATGGATGTTTTCAGTTTTGACTGCCTTATATTGAGGCTACCCCACAGCCATTCTTTATAACTAGGCTAAGTTCAAGTGGCTTGGGTTTGTAGAAAAACGTTGGGGTAAATTGCATAGACAAAGTTTATATAAATTTTGAAGTTTAAAAATTTATATAAACTTCACTGAAATTTTATAGACGTTTTTTAAAATTTTTATAATATACACAAATTTTCCTAAAAATAAATGAGATGTGTATTCCCAAATAAAAAATAAATCAGAGAGGCCTAGGTAATTTATTCTTCTTCTTTTTTTTCCCAAGTTTGTGCGAGTTTTGAAATTAGAGAGGTTTATGATTCAACAAAGATAGGGAAAAATTTTATATTTTACTTTGTTTTCAAAACAAAATTGCATGAGTTATATATATAATATTAATAAAATTTGCTGAAAATTCATATAATTTATTCTAAATATGGCTTTTTTGAATTTCTTCTCTTGGTATCCTAAGCTAAGGCTATCTTCTAGGCATATCAACGGATTCAGACTAATCTGTAGATGCACTTTATGGGACCCCAAGGACAGCTTGCCTACCACAAACACTGCAATGTTTCCAAGCGGGATTGAATCCCTGACCTTAGTTAAACTAGAACGACTTCCAGCCAGTCGATGCAAGTGTTTGGTGGTATTCTAAATATGGCTTTGACAAAAAGATTGTAGTGCGGCATGTCCAATATGTTTTCCTTCGATGGTCAAGATGATAGTGTTCCCAATCGTCCACAATATCATATCTCTTTTTCAACTCCGTCATCTCCTTGCATTTTTTATTAAAAAACAAATTATTTTGTAGGTATTTATACTTATTTTAAAAATTTTAATTTATTATTTGTGTGAAAATTCATAAAAACAAGATAAAATTACAAAGTTTCTTGTCTAAAAAAATGTTACTACTTAAATTTTGAAATTTTGTTAGTAGAAAATAAAGCTTTAATTATATATAATTTGAACATTTCTCCTATAACTCTTTGTTTAATTTTTCCTTCCAAAACTTTGACCTTAAATGTGTGTGCGATTGAAAGTGGCCAAATAGACCAAACAAAACTGATTCTCAAATGTCTATGAGGAGCGAAGGTGACGGTTCCATTTTTAAAACTTGTTGGGAATTGAATATAAAGATTGCAAATTGTTGCTATTGAATGATGCGCTAAGGATCATCCTTATCTTCGGGATGAGGGAATTTAATCTGCATTATTGAAGAATTTGTCCGGAGAAATTATCTAGGCTCCGTTTGGTCAGCGGGAATTAGCGATCACGAAAACAGAAGGGAAATGGAAATTGGATTTCCCTTTGATTGGTTGGCGTAAAAGTGAAGTTATTGGGAAGCAATTTTCAAAGAAGTGCAAATGGCTTTCTTAGCAGACCCAACATTCAAACTTAGAGTCAAGAGTTGACTTGTATTTGTGGCTTATAAAATTGTATTAATCTATTTTTAAATTCATATTAGTTGTAAATTTAAATTAAATTCGTGAGTTAATTTATCAATTTTATTTTTTTATCTTATACAATTATGTTCAAAGAACAAAAAATTGGACCATGTATTTCTGGACAGAGATGGTAAAAGTGGGTGTGGTAGTGTAACCAAAGATGCTACAACTAGGTGGATCTGTGATTTTAGCGGCAAGATAATAGTAATTCCTTTGGTGATTGCTGGGTTACTGGGTATCTTGATGGTCTCAACTTTTGTTGGACTGAGGGATACAAAAATATTGATTTTTACAGTGACTATATTAAAGTTGTTAGTATTATTTCAAGGGGTTGTGATGATAATCACCTCTTTAGAGAAATTATTGATGACATTAGACTTTTGTTACAGAGAGATTTACTGATTGATTTGTATCATGTGAGTAGGGAGGAAATGGGATGGCGAATAGGATAGAAAGATTAGCCCATAGACTAAAAAATACTTGGTTATCATTGGTCAACCAAGGTTATCATTGGTCAACCACCATTTCTTAACCGAGAGGTGGAGATTGATGATGAAGATAGGCTTTGTTCTCTTGTTTTTTGTTCAAGTGTTAACATCCAGGTTTATTCCCCCAAAAAAAAAGTTGTCAAGTCATGCTGCCTTGTTATAGTCATCGTGGTCTTCTTTTTTTTTATTTTTTATGAGGACCTTCGTATAGTCTTCTATTACCTTCGATCCTTAATATAAAATCTTGTTTGATTGTTATTTTCATCCTAATTATAAGACCCCAATCCACTTTGTCTCTTATATATATATATATTTTCTCAAAGTAGTCCCTCTAATAATAATAGTTCTAACCAATAAACTTGATTAGTAAGGATATTTTAGGAAAGAAAACACATATTTATTATGAATAACTAACTTAACTTATTTCCTCTGATTGAAAGTTAGGACTCAAGAAGCTGTAAAAGTGAAGCAAGAGGAAGTTTGAATTTGAAATACATCGAAACCAAATTGTTCTCATTTTTTGGGTATTTTAATTATTTAATCATATATTTAGCTATTTATTGTGATAGGGGTAATCTCTTGTGAGCTTACAATATAAGTTTATAATCTGAGTTTACATCCTTGTTATAAGTTTACTTAAATTTGAAAGTTCAATAACCTTAAGTCCAATGAAAAAGGCAAATTTTTCAGGTATCCATTTTTATGAAGAAACCCTTCATCAATAATTTTTTTAGATCTCACATACAGGATTCTTTTAATGGCCAAAATACCCTTCATCATTTTTTAAAAGGTTAATAATATATTTAGTCTCTAAAATTTAACCTCATTTTAGTTTTAGTTCCTAAAATGTAAAACTAATAGTTTTAGCCATATTTGAAATCAATAGTTTTAGTATCTGAAATTTGATTCCATTTTATTTTGATCATTATTTCAAGGATTAAAAACATTGTTCTAGTCCAAGGACCAAAAATTTTTAAAAGGATCAAAATGAAATTAAACTTCAAGAACCAAAATCACTAGTTTTAAATTTAAAACACCTAACTATTGATTTCAAATTTGAAATATAATTGGTGATGGAATTTCTTGCAATTGTTTCAGTAAAACTTGGGGTCACAAACAAACAAAGACAATACGACATAAAGTTTGGAATATGAACAAACCTCTAAGTTGGAATGAACATTTTTCAATCGATGATATAAATTACTTATGTCGACCATTAACTTGTTTAATTCAAAATGCAATTAATAAGTTCCTGGTCAAAAAAAAATGCAATTAATAAGTTGGCCCCACCACAATAAATATCCCTTTTAATAGTCAATTCAGTTTGGCAACATGTGCACGTGAATTCCAATGAGTTGATCCCAGACAATGCTTTTGAAAATATATACTTCTGACCATATAAAACGTACACGTTACATTATTATTAATCCGCAACATTACATAAACACATGTAATTACTTACAAGGACCAACTTGTTTAATTCAAAATACAATAAATAAAATATTCTAAACACCCTTGTATTTTATTTTAATTATACATACCTTTCCTATATTTTAAAAAACGTCATATGCATTTGAAAAAATAATAAATAAACAAGTTTAGATAAACGAGATTAAAAATTTAGAATTATAACATTAAGTAATTTTATAATATTATAGAAATTAATTAATTTAATTCGGAAGTTTAGCGTATTTTACTCAAATACAATATTAATAATTTGGCCCTATCACAATAAAAATCCCTTAAAAATAGTCAACTTGTTCTGTCCAGTTTTGCATTAAAATTACAATACGTTAGTCCAACATCATACTTCTACAAATACCTCTAAACCATATAAGACGCACGCACCCATATGTGTATTATTCACCAATTATTACACAAGCACCTCATATATATGTTTGTGTGTATCCTTCCTCTTCTCTCCACACATTAAACTTGTATCCATGGCCATGAGAATTCAGAAACCTTTGCTTCTTCTTCCTCCTCTATTCATCACCATTTTCATCTCCATCTTCCCATCAATTTCTCTCTCTTTTAGCCTCAAAGATAGCTTTGTTCAATGTTTTTCCGCAAATACAACAATCACTAATAATAATGCAACTTCACAAGTCATATTCACCCAAAATGACCCGTCTTATCAACCCATTCTTCACTCTTCCATCAGAAATCTCATGTTCTCACACAAGTCAACCCCAAAACCAATCCTTATCGTCACTCCAAATAACATCTTTCAAATCCAATCTGCCATAACCTGTTCAAAACAACACGGTTTACAGGTTAGAGTTCGAAGTGGAGGTCATGATTATGAAGGTCTTTCTTATACCTCCCATGTTGAACCTTTCATAGTTATCGATCTTTTTCATCTTAGATCGATAAGTATAAACCTTGAAGACGAAACTGCTTGGGTTGAATCAGGAGCAACAGTTGGAGAGTTATATCATGAAATTGCTAAAGCAAGCAGTATCCATGGCTTCCCTGCAGGAAGCTGTCCCACAATCGGCATAGGAGGACATGTAAGTGGTGGTGGATTCGGTACTATTTTCAGAAAATATGGTTTAGCAGCTGACAACGTTGTTGATGCTAAAATGGTGGATTCTGATGGTAGAATCTTGAATCGAACATTAATGGGAGAAGATCTGTTTTGGGCCATACGAGGAGGAGGAGGATCAAGCTTTGGTGTCATCACTTCATGGAAAGTTAAAATCTTACGTGTCCCCCCAACAGTAACAATCTTTGATATTTCTACAAATGTTCTTGAAGATGATGATGATTCAGCAAAACCATTCATGAAGTGGCAAAATATAGCAGATAAGCTTCCTGGGGAGATTTTTCTTCATGCAGTAACGGGAACTGGAAATGTTAATCTGAATGGTTCATCTTCTAAAACTATTACAATTTCTTTCACAGGATTGTATCTTGGAGAAGCTGATAAGGCTGTGACTTTGATGAGTGAGAATTTTGCAGAATTGGGTTTGCGGAGAAATAACTGCAAACAAATGAGTTGGATTCAATCTGTTCTTTATTTTGCAGGATACTCAGTGAACTCCTCCATTGACGTGCTACTTCAAAGAAACCAAAAATCTCAGATCAGTTTCAAAGCAAAATCCGACTATGTAACGAAACCTGTTCCTTTGTCTGGTTTGAAAGGGCTATGGAAGATTCTATTATCTGAGGATAATCCTCCATCGTTGATATTGACACCTTACGGAGGAAGAATGAGTGAGATTTCAGAATCAGAAACCCCATTTCCGCATAGAAGAGGGATCATATATGGGATTCAATATTATGTGTCGTGGGATTCGAATAATAATGAGACGACAGACAAATATTATTTGACGATGATGAGAAGATTGTACGATTACATGACACCGTATGTTTCGAAGAATCCGAGGGCTGCTTATTTGAATTATAGAGACTTGGATTTGGGAGTGAATACAGATCTAAAACACAACTATGAAGAAGCAAGATCTTCTTGGGGTTCTAAGTATTTCAAGAATAATTTCCAAAGATTGGCTAAAGTGAAAGCTTCTGTTGATCCTGGCAACTTTTTCTGGAATGAGCAAAGCATTCCTCCTTTGACCGTTATCTGATAGAAGAAATACATATGTGTGTGTGGTGTGAAAGTTAGGTTTGTTGAGGAAGCGTGAGGATAATTTGAGTTCTTAATTATTGTCGATGGAGTTCTAGAGCTTCAAGAAAGAATGTTGAACATCCAAACTCTTCTGTCAGCAAATATGAATATGATGAATAATAAAGGGAAGTTTATTTTATTATTGGCCGGACCCACCAATTTTACTAATGTTTAAATTTCATTTGTATCATTTTTCAAATTCGTAGTTAAATTTTATTGCATGTTTTTCACTAAATGATAAGGACTGTATTATTTATGACTTTTTTTTTCCGAAGAATTATTATGAAGGAATGTAATTACCGAAAACTCTCACAAGCAGCATGTGATAACAGATTCCGGGACAGAAAATAACTATGGATCCATAATACTCAATTATTATTAGTAAGACTTTTTTATTACTAGCTCCGGTCCTTAATATAAGACCCCGTTTGATTTTTGTATTAATCCTAAATATAAGATCCCAATCCATTTTGTCTCTCATATTTACTCAATTTTTTCCAAGATAGTTATTCTAATAATTAGCCAACACACTTGATTAGTAAGGATATTTTAAAAAAGATAACACTTATTTATTACAAATAACTAACTTAACTTCTTTTCTTAATTTTCTCAAATTAGTCAAGTGACTATTATAATTAGGACCGAAGGTAGTATTAAATTCTTTCCTTGAGTTTCATAATGATTTTTTTCCATTTTTTATTAACATATTGAGAGGGTTTGAAACCCTTAACCTCTATTCTTATCTTACCCCACCCTTAGTATATAAGCCAGCATGGAGAATTTTATATTGATAATTAATTAATATTTTAATGATGATAATGTGATAGATGTTGTATTTCATATTGATATTGGTATTGAGATTAATAAAATTATAAATATCATAATCACGCAAAGACGACATTAGACGTGAAATTGGAATTCTGAACAAACTTGGAGTTCTGAAGTCACATCGTCAAGCCGCGCTAGGTAATGACTATTATTTTTGAAAGGAGAGCAAAAGACCAAAATACTACCTCAATCCTAATTATAGAGTCAGTTGACTAATTTGAAGAGATTAAGAAAGTAAATTGAGTTAGTTATTTGTCTTAAATAGATGTTGTCTTTCTTAAATATCCTTACTAATCAAGTGTATTGACCATAACTATAATTATTAGAAGAATTATCTTAGAAAAAATTGAGTAATATGAAAAGTGGATTAGGGTCTTATATTTAGGACCAAAATAAAAGCCAAACAGGGTCTTATATTAAGGACTTAGTATTAATTACTTATGAAGACCAACTTGTTTAGTTCAAGGATGATAATGGAAGATATTAACATTTTAAAAGGAGCTTTGGAAGAGTGAATATTGAATTCTTGATTTTCTTTTAAAACAATCTCTCGTGTATTGTACAAGCTAATTAAATTCTAGTTTTACCAATGTATTGATAGGGACAGTATTTTGAATAGAATATGTGGTTAGCAAAAGAAAAAAAAAAGAATTAACTAATGGAATAAATTATGCAAAAAAGAATGAAGTATTGTAAATATTTGCCCCGCAGTTCAACAAGTGTTGGTCCTAATAAATGAGGTTTTGGTATGAGATCTTAATTCAGTTTGAATTTATGTGAATATAAGAAAACGTTTTTGGAATCGCTACTTCTAATTAAATCCGACAATGCTCGAATCTAGTCTAATTAGATAGCAATATAAAAAAAAAAAAATCACCCCACAAACTTGGTGATAAACAGCTGAGATTTAGATTTTCATTCTTATGGAAATACCTATAGTTAATTAATACTATCTTCAGTTTTTAATATAAGACTCAATTAACAATTTGAAAAAATTAAGAAAATTACTAAACTGTTTTAAACTATTTATATTTATTGTTTTTCTCCAAATTAATTTACCCCACTTACAAATTAATATATAATATAATAATCTATATGAGTATTTTAGAAAGGTCATGTAATATATGCTATAATTAAATAATCTAATAACTTTCTAAATTTCTCTAAATTGGTTAATTAGATCTTATATTAAGAAGCAGATTAATAACTAATTCTGTATGGTCGAGTGTGTTTATTGAAAGAATCAGATTATTTGATTTGATTATCCAATATTTAAAGTTTTTTTCCTACTATTGAAACGTAAGCATACATATGATGTTGGAATAACTTTTTATGAAATATCATTAATGCGTAGAAATACGTAGAAAAAAAATGTAACTCAAATTGTTCATATTTTCTTATTCTAAAGATTAAAAGGTAGAACAGTAGATTAAAAAGTAGAACAATAATAAGCTTTTTATTTCTAATAAATAATAGGGAGAATTACAATGAGGTTCTAAAAGAAAAATAATTACAAAACAAGTTCTAAAAGTTATCATTTCCCACTTTAAAACTTGTCAAGCCGTTTAAGTTGTTATTAAGACTTTTTAATAATTATTTTCCTTCTTTGAGGCCTTATTGTGATTCTCCCTAAATAATATAAAATAAACAAGAACATTAAATATATAAGCTTTTTCTGAGAAGAAAATACCTACCTAAACAAGTTTTTCAATTCATGTAAGCAGAAAACAGTTTTTTTTTTTCAAAAAGTAATCAATCAGGGCAAAATAATTTATCCTCCTTAATTATTTAAAAAATCTTGTCCAAAACATGAACGTCATTTCTGCATGAAGATTGAAAAAGGTCATCAAATAAGCCAAACAAAATTGACATACTATATCAACGCAGACGAGGGACACTTTATCTTTCAAAATGGCGAATCGAATATTAATCTAAAATTGTTTGCAATTGGATGACGACCAAAGTGTTGGGAAAGTTTCTCAAATGAATTGCTATTTTCAACTGTCAAAGCTTGAACGTCTCCCTTCTAATTGGTCTGACCCCAAAATAGTCTGCTCCGGGCATAAATTTTGGAGAAAATTGCTGAGAAAAATTACAATCAAGTTTCGAAAAAAGAATTTAATTATCTTAAACCCATTGACAAGTGAAAAACATGAATAGAAAATAACAACAGATTCATACCAGTCACTTATCATTAGAATTTCATCATAATTAATTTCCTTCCTCAAACCTTGCGGTAATTCTCCCAAATTGCTATGATGCTTGAAAAAGAAATATAATCATCAGAAAAATCTAAAGATACGTGAATATTATGCAATGACAAGTTTTAAATTAGAAAATAATAAGTTCATACTATTTGTTCATTATAGATTAGGAAATAACAAGTCCAGATATCTATAACTTTTTGCCTAAATGGACACCATCGTTTCAATGAACACCAAATTTAACTTAAAATTCAATATTTATCAATTAATCTTATTTAAATAAATCATTTCTTCCTTCACTTCTATATCATTGGCCCAAGTGCCAGTTACAGCTGCGCTAGTTATTATTGGCAGCAAATGCCTAAAGACATGGATGGTCACCGCTTCAGCATGTTATATACAATAATCCCTGAAAAAAATTAATAATTACAGAGTAAAAACAACCATATACATATATATTTACATATAAAAGTTGTTATTGTGTCAATTTGTTTCCCCCCTCAGGATATCTTCCTTGAAAGGGCCAGAATCATGTAAGAGATTAATAACAAGCTTCACCTGTACAAAAGACAAGAAATCAAAGTAAACAAAATTGCAAATCATCAGGGTTAGATGAAGAGGGATAATAATGACCTTTCACAAGAAAGGCTACACTTGAAAAGGGAATGAAACTGTCATTAAAAAGTATGTCTTTGGACTTTCTGGAAGAATTTGGTCGGTACCAAGAAAATGGTTACATTACATCCTTCGTCATACAAACGAGAACATAACCTCTTATCTAGACGCAACATTAACAGGAGATAATCTTGAGGTATGATCCAAAGTTGGAGATACTTGGTTTTCTGATCTTATTTGCTTACTGCAGTTGTTTTTTAGTCATGTAGTCAGAGAGTTGCATCACAGCTCGTCAAGTTAACCAACAAGTTTCTAGAGTTTGGCCCCTGTCTGGCAGTTTATTTTTATCCAAATGTTTATTTCATGGTTGGAAGTTTCCTACAATTGCTTTCATTCACGAGTGTTTGTTGTTTGGACTGCTTTTTATCTTTTATGCTTGCGTATGCTTATTTTGGACTTCTTGTATGTTGTTTTTAATTGATTCTTTTATAAGGGGGAAAAACAAGTTTCTAGCCTAAGAAGAATAAGTTCCAGAAACAGAAGTTTTATCCCGAATATGAATTTGATACTTGTATTAGATACAGCACAACAATGAAAATTGAATCTGAATAATACACATCATTTTGCCATATATCTATGTCAATGCTGGAACCTTTTAGACTCTGCCCACGTGGGGCCTACCTTAGACAGCTTGGAATGAATGATTTCCCAACCCAGTTTAGTTGGGAAGTTTGCTGCTAAAACAAGGTTCTTATAAGGGACTTCTTCGGAGTTCGTTAGTTAAATTTGAACCTGATAGAATTGTTCTATATTCTCTTTTCTTTTCTCCTCTTTTCTGTCTATTCCATTCTTGGCCATTATATCAGTTAATTGTATTTAGTCCTTAACCCTTCCAAGAGCAGAAAAATAAAGTGGAAAAATTGCATATCCTTTCAAGCAAGGCATATAGTTCCAAAAGAACGCATGTCAGCTGACAATTATCATACCTGAGAAGCTTCACGGATTAAGAAGTCTTCAATAGGCTTCCTAAATCCATTATCCGTCAGGTAGTGGCAGCTATAAGTTGTCACTGGCATATAGCCTCGCTGGATCTTATGCTCACCCTGAGCTCCAGCCTCTACTGTTTGAAGATTGAGTTCAATCGCGGCTTCAATAGCCTGTAACGCCAAACAGTGCAACAACTACATTATATGCTTCATGAGCTATATACTACATCTTATTTGAGATCTTGGTGAACCATCAGAATTCGAGGATCCAATCAAGGAATAAGGAGACATGAAAGCGCCAGAAAACACTTGAGAAACAGAGTCTCACTCAGACTGTGATTGAGAATTTAGAGTAAACCGTTGTGTAAACAACCCAAACCTCTGTGATTTTGTGCAACTGCTAGCGTCATAATAGGGCTGTTTTGAATTTCTTTTATTGGGAACTAATTTGTTTATCTATACAACATTAGTATAAGAGATAAAATCATTAAGAGTGTAGTGTACTTGAACAGGAGATAATGGAGAAGACCCAGTTTGGGAATCGTTAAGGATTTCTGTCCAACTCTCTGAAATCTTCTTTCATTCGCATTTTCAAATTGGGGGATTTTGGAGGAGAAAATTTTGCCAATCAAGGAAAAGGGAAAATTTTCATCTGATCATATCTTCTACTTCCTTCTCTCCACTTTCCTGTTCTTTGTACTCCTTTCATTCTCCTCCCAATTCCCAAGCATGCTTATGATTTCAAAACTTCTTTTTTTTCCATTTTGTTACTGAAACTTGAAGACAAGCTGCAATGCAAACAATCTAAGAAAACAAGGAAAAGCCAAGACAAGTAAAACAAGAGGGGAAGAAGGTGGAAACTGGAAATGTTACAACGCGGATAAATATCAATGCAACTAGCATCAAAATCACATTCATGCTAAATAGCTTCGACGCTTGAAAAAGCAAAATACACTAATACAGAGTATAAAATGAGCAACATCCTTTTCTTTCAACACCAGAAACTGTTGGTGTAAGCCTTACTGAGGTGAAATGAAAATTTAAGAAGAAAAGGAAATAAACTAGAGAATATAAACAGAATATACAAGGTAAAAATAATAATAATAATATTAAACTCCTAGAAAAATGATGGTGTACCTGGTAATAACATGCTTCAAAATGCAAACTTGGATAATAACTCCGAGGGCTACATCCCCATAGCCGCCCATATAAAGTATCTCCTCCAATAAGATTTAGAGCTCCTGCAACAAGTTCATCTCCTTCTTCTGCAACAACTAGCAATACCTGATCTCCCATTTTTGATCCCATCTCATGAAAAAATTCCCTTGTCAGGTAAGGGCTACCCCACCTATAATATAAAGCAACAACAATGTATAAGTACCAATATTTGATACATCCCCATATCATCGGTGTGATTTGATTCTTTTCAAAATGAAAGATTCAATCATAAGGAACAGACTTGTTATCAGTTGTGTTCCTGTAGAACTTATAGAAGGAGTCCCAGTGCCTTGCCTGCCAATACAAATTCACAACAGAGTAAGTTGAAACAATACGACTGTGAAGTTTGCCCAATAATATACCAGAAGTAAAATTTGCTTACTGGAAAGATAAAGTTATTCACATGGATGTGCAATATAAAAGTACACACCAAAACTGACCAGTGTCGGTCACTAAAATATTATTAGAAGCATCAAGACTTTTCCAACAACCACAAGCTTTTCAGATCAATTCTTGCCGTGAAAGAAAAATCTTATCAAAAAGAGGAAGACAGTACAAACAAAAAGACAAATTACATCCTCCTAGAGGAAAAAAATACACAAACAAGATTATTAGTAACAAGATATTCTTCAATCACATTGCATATCTGGATTCAAGATCAGAATAACACAAGGAAGAGCACCAGAATGTGGCCACACATAAATCCCTACCACCACATCAAATATCAGAGTTCCAAGGAAAATATAAATATGAGCATTCACTCCAACCAAACACACCAAAGGACTGCAAAAGACTGCATGACACCACACAATTGTACACATTAACAAGAAAGAAATTTTAACAAAGAAGAAAGTTACAGGAGTAGAATGAGACATCTCTAACAGGAACGTCATAAAGAATATGCACAAAGAAAGGAAAAAAATAAGAAAGAAAACAAACGAACACAAAAACCCTTAAAACCTACATAACACTAATAAAAGTACCTTTATTTCATAACCCCGGAGCCGTTTCATAATCAAGTTCTGTGCGGAAATCTGCACATAAAAGTTTCTATAATAATGTAGCCAACAAATAAACTCAACTGCTTTGATGTTATCTAAGATACACCACCATTATACTACATGAGGTGAACCCAGAAATGAGAACAATTTTTGCAACAATTCAGAATCAATTTTTTTCCCCCATCATGCTGTCACAAAGAGTATGAAAAGGAAAACTGCTAGCGGATTTGTACATTGAACACAATTTAAAATTTTTCTTTCCATCTCACCAAACCTTCAACAACAAAGACCAACCTTTTTGCGCTCTTGGCGAATATTTTTTCTTTTACTTTGCTTCATGTCCATCAAGAACTCATCAAAACTGCCACGTAGAGATACAAAACAAAATGAGATTGACTGATACAAAAAAGTAATCTTATAACTCACCACAGGAGCCAAAGTTAAATTACTGATGTATCATACTGATTGACTGCATCACACACATCATGTCACTTTTTTAATAGATTGAAGATCTGACAAACAAAGTTGGATTCCTTCCATGGTCCAGTATTTTAAGAAAGACATGTTAATTCAAGATCAGAGATGCAGGCATTTGACACAGGGAAAAAGAAAGAAAAGAAACAGTATTTAACGTCCTTTGATGTCGTACAAATTCAATGTTAAAAATAAAAATATCTAAAAGGAATCAGAGTTCAGAAAGCATAAAACTATAATTGGAGCTAAGAAAAAGTTGACTGTCAGAGATAAGTGATATAGAACAATTGAATAATAGTCTTTTTGTGAGAAGGAACAATGAACAAGGACATTCATGACCTGGAAAAATAAAATAAGAAAAATGACGAAGGACACATGAGCTTGAAGAAACAGTATGTGTAAGCAAAAAAAACCGAAACCTAGTTTGCATCACAATAGCTTGTAATGCTTCCTTGTATTTTACTGCCTTCAGAAACTCTTAATAGCTTCAGACAAATGACATTGTGCCAGAGTGTTTTACTTATAGGAACTTGTCGCCAAGCTATTGAAAATTACATGCAAACATCAGCTCATTTCAAGGGGAGGCTTCCATTACATGTTTGGCAAATGCCAGGGAAGAAAAGTAGAATAACTATTCTAGCTCCAAGCCTTGCCCAGCTTGAAGGGAAGTATTGGAAATCATTTGATTAATAGAATTTTTGCCAAATGATGAAGTATCAGTTGACTTGTTTCTATTATGTTTTCATGTCTTCTTAGAATCTTTTTTATGTTTGGTTCAGTCCTCAAATTTATTTTAAATATTGTTTTGCTGCTCAATATATGGTTATTCTTGGGCCTTTAATGGGTAGACTCGTCAAAAGAATCACATGAAATTACAGGAGTTAATGGGCTGAGGTGGTTTCATTTCATTATTTGCTTTCAGTATTTGACTCTTTAGTTTGCATCTATGTTCCTATCGTTTTCTTTTTTGGTTGAGGGTGTTTTAGTGGTTCAGTTGTGGCTTCCTTCCTCCTATATGTAGCAACCATTAGTTCAAAATAAAGAACCTCTTCAAGTCATCATTTTCTTGGGGGGGGGGGGGGGGATCTTCAGCTTCTTTTGAGAGAGACCCCCCCGGGGGGGGGGCCTCAAGTTGAGGAAAAGAAGTAAAAGATGCTCGTCAGAAACTCCAACTCAATTTCTCTCAGCCCAGATACAAAATTAGAATGCCTAGATGAAGCCAAAATGTATGCCAAAACAAACATACAAACCGAACGCATTCTAGGAACATTTTACACTACCAAAGATGGGGCACATATAGTGATTCACCTTTTATAGTTACGATTTTTCCAGTGGTACTGCATTCCCATCCTCTGTAGAAAACCTTTTTCACCAAGCTTGTTCCACTCATTTTCAGTGGGGAAAGTAATATGCAATGATGAAAGCTCGAACTGTCAGGAAAATGAAGTCAGATTAAAAATGCATGGCAGATGTTCATATTAGAACAACAACCAAACGGAAATTAAGGAAACAAAATAGAACAAAATCTTTCTATGCAAGAAAATGCAGATGGAAGTGTAATGGTCCTCCTAACCTTTAATACTTTCACTGAGCAGCAGCATAAATGCAAGTTAAGAGAAAATTTTAGAACTGGAAGTAGTTAATAAGAAACAATTTTCTAAACTCTGTCAAGAGTAAGAATTCAAGTCTCATATTAAGAGTCAATAATGAGAGCAGTAAGATATATGAACATGACATTAATTATAATGACAATGCTTCAACTGGTAATGATAAAGTGACAAATTAAATATACTAGGGGATACTGGTAAAACAGAGGGTATTTCTACAACTACTTGCTGAAAGTTAAGGCCCTATGATAAATCTGATACCTTATCAGTCAGATCCTTCATTGCAGATACTATAATGTCAAAGACTTGATCCTTGTATGAGGTGTTACGAACTAGAATCCTTGGACCAGTTACTGGAGTGAATGGCACAGAGCATTGTAACTTTGGGTAATATTTTAACCCATAGCTATAATATGCATCAGCCCAAGAATGATCAAAAACAAATTCACCATATGAATGGCTGCAACCAAATCAATAGGTGAGAAGACAGACAATAGATAAAAGGTTAGATAAAAGCTGTAATACAAAGCAGCTGGAAAATTACTTTTAGAACAATAGACAAGCTCCATAACGAACTAGAAAATAACTTGCCGCATGGATGATGTAGCAGATGCCAAACCTTTTAAGATAGAGTAGGACAACACCTACAATCTTGTTGTCTTCATCCTTGGCAATGATGTGGCGGGGCATCCATCCTGTTTCCTGAAATTGTGAGCAATAATATGAAAATTCAGATGTTTTCACAGTATCACTGACAATTTGACACTGGTAATATGAAGAAAAAGTTGTGGTAACATCAACCATGGACCCTGAATGGATACAAACAAAATGTTTGAGGATGAAAAAGAAGAGCAATTCCTGAGAAATGAAAGACGTGTTTATTCTTGGTTTACAGACAATCGGTTTTATCAAACATCAAATAGCATCCAAGGTATTGTCAATAGAATCTCGTTTTCGTTGCACACAAAATGACCATCTGAACAACATGGAAATTAGTAGCAACATGTCTGTGAATACCCATGACAGATCAAAGGATTAAAAAAAAACTAATTAGGACTCTGAAGCCTAAGAAATACTCATGATTTTAAAGAGAATCCAGTCAATTGTGATCATCAAGTGAAGCAATCCACAAATGGCAAGAAGGATAAAACCATTTGATTTGATTTTAAGAGATCTCAAATGCATTAACGTAGGATATTCTGGCATCCATGGGTCAATATACTAACCCAACCATGTATTCCATCTGCGATGAGAGAATGCAAACATATAAGAGCAGTCTGGCTCAGAATATGATAGAACTTACACTTAAGGAGATTATCATGAAATAGGAGGATAAGATAACATGACTAATAATAGATACAAAGAAAACCAAATTCAGGAGGGGGGAGTGGGGGAGGCTTGATTTTGGGCCGCCGAAGGGATTTTGTTTTCTTAGCATTTTCATCTTTGACTTAGCAACATTGAACCTATTCCAAAATTGTCAGATTTACTTACAATGGAGGTTACAGAGTTTACATTGAATGATCCATGGTTTTAGGATAAAAGGGGGCCCCCTGGGGGTTGGGGGGTTACCCGTTGATATTAACTACTCCAACATATTAAGCTATAACATGGCACAGCAGATGAATTAAAAAAAAAAAAAACAGACAGAACCAAGAGCTATACACTTCCTAGCCGTTCAGCTGACATGTCATTATAAAAAGATAAATAGAAGCTAAGATTTCCACACCTTCACTGCACTTCCGGAATCCTCCAAACTTGATAAAAATCCATGGGTAAGAAATGGATTGAACTTTTCAGTGCCCGTGGCATCCAGAGCACAAGCATCCCATTCACTGGATGCTACCTCCGAGATAGAAGATACAACTGAAACTGTTATCGTTTTGGGTTGTGCCAGCTTCACCATTGTGTCCTGAGCACACAAGTATCAATAAAAGGGCAACAGGTTGAGCATATCACAAGCAAATACAACGGATAAATCTTCAACGACAAAGAACTATGAAAGGACCACTTAAATAAAACACCTCTGAGCCAGACCCTGTCAAAGTAAATTGTCCCAAAACAGAATCCATTACTTGTGCTTCCCTGGACCTTCTAGACTGCCAAAAAAGTGCACTGATTCTAGATGGCTGAAATGAATTCCCCATACACTGTCCAGATAACAGATTAGCCTACAGCGAAATTATCATTTGCAAAATCAGTAAATCTGCAAAACATCAAAGAAACTAAATATACCAAGAACTACACAGAGTTAATAGCATGGGCATAAGAAGGTATATATAGACTTATGCACTACTTTGAAACATCATTCGCCATTTTTCCCACTCAAACACAGAAGCCAAATCACGCGGACTTACAGAGCGAGTTGCGAATTTGTGACCGAGAAATGGAGAAGGCTTGCACCAGTTCACTGCTACTGCCATGGCTCCAAGACCCCGGGAGCACAGATCTTTCTCGCTCTTCCTCTCCTACCACTGTGGTGGCATTGTTGAATTTGTAAGTATCGCTGAAGGTTTTTTTTTTTTTTTTTTTGGGAATAAAAAACAAGAAAAAATTGGGGAAAACAATGGACCAGAGGGATTGACGACTAATTTCTGCCACGTTGCAAATTCTTGGAGGCAGATATCTGATCAAGGCCTGCATTGTTTCAGAGTTTCTCTCCTGGCAAAATATTACGCGGGGAATGGGTTAACGTTAATTTCTTTTTTGAGTGAATTTAACGTTAATTTCTTTTTTAGCATGAATAGTTAAGATTAATTAATTAGATGTCATAAATATATTAAAAATGCATCCTTTTTTTTTTCCCAATGACCCAGCATTTTTATTAAAAATGAATTAAGATTAAAAATTAGAGCTGAAAACTGAAATCATAGAAGATAGTCTAGAAAATGTTTAAAATGATTACTGAAAAATTGAAAACCATTGAAAATGTTAAAGATAAATACTAAAAACATGAAAGATAATTACTAAAAATGTGAAAAAAAGAATGATAAAAAATTAACTCAGAAAATACTTTAAAAATAGAGTTACACTTAAAAACTATTTTAGAGTATTCAATTCCGCTGAAAAAATATTTTAAATACTGAGAACACATTGGCTGGACAAACTTCTAAGGGTTAACAACAATGTTAACATTGTTCTTGAACAAAAAATGTGTCAAAGTTGCAAATGTCTTTCGTAACATCTCAATGTGAATTTCTATGATTAAGGAAAAATCATTATCTTAATTAACATGGCAATCCAGTTTTTTCAATTCCAATATATATGAAGAATTCCAATATATACATTGCATATATTGCCATCGTCTTAGTCTTAAGCAAGTTAAATTTAGTGAATTTCTATACTGTTCAATAGTAGCAGTTTTGTCAAATATTAGTCTTCAAGACTTCTAGAAATATATTTCTCAAAACAACCAATACTTCTCATAATATAAGATATTTGAATGATTAGTGATAAACCTCTATTTTGTCTTATTATTTTATATCTTTTTGGGGTTTTTTTTATCAACTAAAGCAAGGTAATTAGCATTTATTATTGCTATTTTCAATTGATGAACAATTTTAGTAAATAGAGCAAAAAGGTTATTTTTGTCATATTTTCATACTTGCTTTTAATTAATAAATTTTGGGATTTTTTATACTACAATTTGTTAAATTATTTTGTAGGTTATTCTGGAAAATTTGGAAAAAAGAAAGAAAAGATGAGTTGTTATTGTGGAGACCCAAAAGAATTGAAAAGAAGGACCTAAGATTTCAAGTTACAATGAAAGCCCCATGAATAATGAAACTCACCGTTTTGAATATGAGAACATTGCGGGCATCTGATTATGAGGGATACAGAGGATTGAAGGGAAGGACGCCGCCACACATACACAAGCTTTGAACCTCTCCATTCCAATTCCCTGAACCATCAACCTCACCTACATCCACACCCTTCACCATAACGCGACCACCACTATTCATCTTCCTTACCGTCAACGCTCCCTCTTCCTTCACCAAACTTCCTTCTTCCTCTTTCATTCTGTTCAGCTTTCCTTTGGCTTCACCGATTTGCGGTCAACACTTCTTCATGGCTGTTGAATCTATGGAGCTCGTTGTGACTGGATTTAAAGCAATAAGTAGCTGAGTTTTACTGTGCTCTTTGGGATTGAATTTAATGACTTGAGCTTGGGACCTACAAAAGGGAGTCTAGTTCTAATCTTTAGTTTAAACTGTATATTGATGATTTCTGGTTTGAAATTTGTTATGTGCAGTTTAAAACTTGGAATTACTAGTTGTAATTCTTGATTTGGATTGGAATTGTTGAGATTTGGATTGGTAATTTTAAGTTTGAGCACTTGGGTTTATGAATATATATTTAATTATATGTTTATCCCTTTGTTGATTCATTGTTAGTATGATTTTTATGCTGATTTGTGTAGAGATTATATTTGAAGTGAATTTAACAAATAATTGATATTCTAGTTGAGTATTAATTTAAAAGGAACAACTTTCTAAACCAATCCTTATCACTTAAGTTACTCCCACATCATTAATCAAGTTAGGATAGTCATTGGTTCATTTCCAAAGAGCATCTCATCATTAAATTCCTTAAAATCCAAATTAATATTTTCATTTATCATTTTATTAAAAAGCCCAAAAAAAATAGTAACTAGGATTTACCTAATTTGCATTGTTTGCAAAGTAGTTTTATTAAAGAAAATCAAATTTAAAACCCTCTCAATGTTTTTGGTACTTAGTTTAGCTTAGATTTTCAAATAAAAAGGCTCCGCGAGAAAGACTATCTGAATTGTGCACTATATTACATTTATATTTGGTTTTATTTTTTATTTAACCCAAGGTGACTAAAAAGGTTCAAATCAATGGCGCCGTTACTAGAGAGTCAATTTATTTGACTCTCTAGTAAATTAAGTGTCAACTTTATATTGATTGGGTTAATCGTTCATGTGCCACTTTTTAGTTGTTTTAGTGTTTGAGTCCGTCTAATCTAGATTGCATTCACATTGCATTGAAAATTTTTGAAAAATCAAAAAGATATCTTGATTTTATTTTGAATTTAACATACGTGCTTACATATCTTTTGCATTGCATTTTGCATCTTTGCATTTGTGCTAGAATTTCTCAATTGACTTGCTATCTTTAACTTGGTTGCTGCTGTATTGGTGCTTTCTACTTGAAATTTTGAGCTTTTGATTTACTGCACCATTTCTCAAAGTTGCTTGCGAGTCATTATTGCATTTACAAGATTGAATTGGTTAGTTCTTGATTTTAGACAGTTTTAAATTGCAAAATTTTGAGTGTAAAGACAAGTTTTGGATTTTATTCATACTTGTGCATTCGTAATTGATACTTTGAAACCTCTTTGAGTGTATAGACATATACTTTGCTGAAACTCATTGAGAAGTATTTGGTTCTTTGAGATTCACTTGATTTTGGTCTCATACTTGTGAATTTTTGATATTCTGAGTCTTGCTTTTGCACTTTGCTACTTTGAATTTCTTTGTTGCATGCCCAGAGATAAAGAAACCTTACTCTACGATCCTGAACTGGAGATAACTTTGAGGCAATTAAAGAAGAAAAAGGAAAAGGGTTAAAAAAGTATAAGTGAATTTCCCTTATAACACCATACTTCTAGTGTACCTAACCAAAATCTAGACATGGCTGATTGTACTGGTAATGGTGGTAATGGTGAAAATAATGGAAATAGAAATGGGGGTAATGGAGATAATAATGGTCATGGGGAAAATCATGTGCCTAGGAATAATGGTGAAGATAAGAGGAGTCTTAGAGAAATAAATAACTCTACTATGAATTTTGATCCTTATAGTTCTTACAATTTTGATGCTAATTTTGAAATCAAAGGTAACTTGATTAATACTATGCCTAAATTTCTTGGTCTTTCAGGTGATGATCCCTAGAGACACATTGAAACTATGATGATGGTATGCTCTACTATGAAGCCACAGGGTGCAAATGTAGAGGAGCTCTTGAGGAGAACGTTTTACCTTATCATAGAAGGAAAAGCCAAGGAATGGCTAAGAACTTTGCCCCAGCACTATGCTACACTTACCTGGGAGCAACTCAAGAATGCTTTTCTTGAGAAATTCTTTCCTACATCTCAGTCTTCCAAGCTTAACAAAGCTATCTTTGGAGCACAACAAGATGAAGGGGAGTCATTCTATGAATATTGGACTAAGTTCTTAACCATGATGTCTCGATGTCCAAATCATCAATTTGCTAAGTCATAATTGGTTCAGTGTTTCTATAAGGGTCTCTTACCATACTATCAGAGGACTATTAATGCTGTTGCTAATGGTTCAATTCTTAATCTTACTCCGCAAGGCACATGGGACCTCTTTGAGAAGACTGCCACAAATGACCAACAATATGGCACTAGAGATAGACAGTGTGTTAGAGAAGTAGCTTCATCCTCTTCTAATGATACACTTAAGCAATTTATAGAGAAGATTGATAGGAACTAGAGAAACTAGAGAATGAAAGGAACCCTAGACAATGTAATGCAATGGGAACCTCCCAGGCATTGGTAGCTCCTAGTTGTGATTATTATGGTTCTTCTATGCACATAAGCAATGTATGTCCTTCAAGATACGAAGAATTTTTTGCTATGTTTCAGGGACACCCTACGAACCAGAAGTGGATTCTAACACATATAACGAGAGGTGGAGACAGAACCCTAACTTCAGTTGAAGGGATAATGATAACAAAGGGCAGAAACAATTTCAAGAGGGAACTAGTGGACTTGGTGCTTATTCAAGCCATTTTCAAAAACCTTCAAGGGTGGTTACTCCACTCCAGAACAATTTACTTTCTCAACCAAAGAGTGATAAGACCAACCAACTACTGAAGAGTATGGCTGCCCAACTTAACAACATGGATAACCAGTTGAAAGAAGATAAATCCTTAAATGATAGCCAATTTTCATCCATTGCCACAATTCTATAAAAGATGCAAGGTGATAATGCAACTATTTGTAAAAAGTTGGTAGGGTTAGAGTTGAAGAACAATACTGTGACATCTCATCTAACTCAAGTGGCCGATAATGTGAGTGATCTGCAAGCCAAAAGTGGAGGCATACCTTCTAATACAATTATCAATCTCGAGGTCCTTAATGCCATCACTCTGAGAAGCAGAAGTAAAGTACGTTTCACTGAAGAGGATGTGGATGAAGAAATAAAAGCTAAGCCTACTTCACATCTTACTACACTAAGCAAGAAATCTGAGAGCTCTAAAGAAAGAGCACTACTGGCTAACACTAAAGAGCCTACTGAAGGGCAAGAAGAAGAAAAGAACCAACTAAAGTGTTACAGATGCCAAGTGCACAACTTTGGAGCACGATGAATTAAGCCAACAAGGAACTATCACACATAAAGGTAAAGAGGTAAAAATCAGTGACATTCCTTTCCCTCAATCTTTTCTTAGATCACAAAAGAAAATGCACGATGAACAACATGATAATGAATTGATTGAGATGTTTAGCAAATTAGAGGTTAACAT